GTCCCAGTATCCCCTTTAGGGTCATGTCCCAGTGACCTTACTTCCTATCACTACACCTCACATCCTGAAGGTTCCACCACCTCCCACTAGCACCAACCTGGGGACAAACCCTTCAATGCACATGGACTTTGGGGACATTTGAGCTCCAAACCACAACATTCTGCCCCTGACCCCCAGAGACTCATGTCCACCTCCAAGAGTCCCCAAAGTCTTGATAGCCAGCACTACAGAAATTTCCAAGTCCACATCCCCTCCAAGAACCAAGAAAAACTGGACTGTGAGTCCTTGTAAAAAAAATCAAAAAGAATTTATTACATACTTCCTGAATATGGAAACTTGAACCTGTTGAGGTCATCAAAAGAGGGAATTTGGGGTAGGAAGGACAAAAAAGGAGAGTATGAACTAATTCAGGGTATAATATATGTATATATGAAAATGTAATATAAATTAACAAAAATGTCTTTTTTTAAAAAAACTATAAATAAAAGACAAGAAGGTGAAACAGGTCCTGTCCAGGGATATGCATCAGGAAGGTATAAGGAAAGGGTAAAGGAGGGAAAATTTGGTGGAAATATTTTGTATTCATGTACGAAAATAGAAGAATTAAGCCTACTGAAATAGTTCTAAGAAGGTGGGGAAGAAAGAGAAAGAATAAGGGATGAATCTAATTAGGATATATTGTAAGCACTTATATAGATGTCACAATGTACCACCTGTACACCAGAACATGCTAATAACTTAAGAAGCCATTACATTTTTCCAACATACAATGGCAAAGAGTAAACAGTCCCAATCTAAAAAAGAAGAATGGAAAAATAGCAAGGAGTGTGAGACCTAAGCAAGACTGAAACCCAGCAGGGCAAACACTAGACACTGAGGTCCACATTCCGCATCTGAGGCACACAGAGGCATGATGTGAGCTCCAAGGGGCTTGGCAGCTCTGCCCCATGGCCTTGCTGTTTGCAGCCCACACAGCATCTCTCTTGTGCTGGTTCTGCTCACCACCTGCAGCTTCCCTTGCAGACTTTTCACATTCCCGGCACCTCTTCCTTACTGAGTTCTAGAGTGCAACTTCAGCTTCGCCCACACAATTGCATGCATTGCCCTCTCAGGGGCTCTTCACAGGGACTCCAGTCCTGCCACACCCTGTCTGAGCTCCCAGGCCTTCCTTTGTAATCTGGGTGGACGCCTCCGTGACCCCTCAACTCCTGCATTTTGATGCCTACAAACTCAGAAACACGTGGATGATGCCAAGCTTGGCCACCAGCTCAAGTGGTAGCAGGACCACTTTGGACTGTGGCTTCAGCAGCCTCTGGGTACGTGGATGGCTGAACAGGGGAAGCAAACCCTGGGGAAACATTTCCTAGGCAGGCTGGTATAAGCAGGGAACCCAGGGCTCTCTTCTCAAAGCCAAGTCTTTCAAGCAAGTTTATACAGCTACACCCTTGAGCCTGTACTTGGGTGGGGTCTTTCTGACTCCTAAGATGTCCTTGAGGGACCTTTCTGGAAGTCCCAATGCAAATTACTTGGCTTCATTTTTTAAATGATTCCTTTTTAACCACTGTATTCTCTTCTTTTTCTTTTTCTTTCCAGTATTGGGCATTGGAGTGAGCATTCTGCCAATTCATCCACATAACCAACTCTTTTGCTTTTTTTAATTTGTTTTTCAGATAGGTTCTCCTGTTAACTGTGCATGGTCTGCCCTTGAAGCACAATCCTCCTGTCTCCTGAGTTTCTAGCATTACAGGAGTGAACCACCAATACTGGCATTTTTGTTTTATTACAAAATAGTGTGTTTCATTATCACCTTTCAATACATGCACACAATGTACTTTGGTCATACTGACCCCCATCACCCTCACTTGTTCCTCATCTCCTACTGGTCCTCCAGATCCCAATCATTCATAGTTTTTGCTTCTTTCTTTTTTAATCTAGATTCCATATATGAGAAAAAAAACTCTTTTTGAGTCTGTTATTTTTTTCTCCATTTTTTATTAGCATGTATTAATTGAACAAAGAGGTTTCATTCTGATATTTCCACGTGTGCATATAATGTGCTTTGATTTTTATTCACCTCTGTTACTCTTTCTTATCCTTCCTCCCCTTCCCCTTTTTAAAATATTTTAGTGGGTCTCTCTATTCTATATTCATACATCCACTTAGAAGGACTTCAATCACATTTACCTTCCTATCATCCTTCTCCTGTTCCCACTGGTTCATTCCCACCAAACAGTCCCCTTTTATATTCATGTCATTTCTTAAGGTCTGCATTCTGTATAAGAAAGAAATGCAGTATTTGGCTTTCTGAGTTTGGTTTATTTCACTTAACATAACGATCTACAATTCCATACATTTTCCTGCAAATGACATGATTCATGTTTACAGCTGAATAATACTCCACACCGCCCATTCATCAATTGGTAGGTGCCTATGCTGATTCCATAGCTCAGTTATCATGAAGGGTGTTGCCGTAGACATGGGTGAGCAGGTGTCTAGTGTATGTTGACTTTTACTTCTTCATATATATAGGCAAGAATGGTGCAGAAGGATCATATGATACTTCTAATTTTCATTTTTCGAGGAACTGTATCCTGATTTCCATAGTTGCTGTAGTAATTTACATTCCTACGAACAGTAAATGAGTTCCTTTTTCCCTCAAATTCTCACCAACATGCACTGTTTGTTTTCTTGATGAAAACCCCATGCTAGCTGGGCAGCAGTGGCCCACACCTGTAATCCTAGCTACTCAGGAGGCAGAGAAGAGAAGGATCAAGGTTCAAAGCCAGCCGGCAAGTAGTTCCCAAGCCCTATCTTTAAAAACCCATCACAAAAAGGGCTGGTGGAGTGGCTCAAGGTGTAGGCACTAAGTTCAAATCCCAGCAGCGCAAAAAAAAAAAAAGAAGAAGAAGAAGAAGAAGAACAGAAAAAGAAAACCCCATGCTAATGAGGGTGACTTAGAATCACAGTGTCTTTTTTATTTGCATTTTCTTTATGAATAAGGATGTTGAACATTTCTTTATGTATTTACACACCATTCGAACATTTTTTGAGAACTGTCTGTTCAATTAATTTGCCCTCTCATTAGTTAGATTTATTTGATCTTCTAGGGATAAATTCTTTGGCTCTTTATAGAGGTTTCTTTCTTTCATTTTGGTGGTACTGGGGATTGAACTCAGGGCCTCATGCTTGCTAGGCAGGCACTCTACAACTTAAGCCACTCTGCCAGCCCTGTAGCTCTTTATATATTCTGGATATTCATCCTTTGTCCAAAGATGAGCTAGCAAGGATGTTCTTGAGGTCTGCAGGTTCTCTCTTCATTCTGTCAATTATTCTTTCCTGTGTAGAAGATTTTAAATTTGATGAAATCCCGTTTGTCAATTTGTGCTCTTATATCCTGAACAGCTGGATTCCATTCACAAAGTTGTTGCCTGTACCTGTATCTTCTAGTGTCTTCCTTGTTTTACTGGAGTGCTTTCAAAATTGTGACTATTTCAGTAGATCATTGATTCACTTTGAATTGATTTTTCTACATGGTGAGAGATAGGGACCTACGTTTAGTCTTCTGCATATGGAGATCCAGTTTTTCAAACATTAGTAGGGAAAAGGCTGTCTTTTCACCAGTGTATGCTTTTGCCTTTTGTCAAGTATCAGATGGCTACAGCTGTGTGATTTATTTCTGAGTCTCCTATTCTATTCCTGTGTCCAATGTTAATGTGGACACGGCATCCAGAAAAGAATTAAAAAGGAAACAGGGGAGGTGAGCAGCACTACAGAACCAATGAACCTAACAGACAAATGAGAACACCCAGACAACCGCACCAGACCACATGTCCCCTAACGCACACCAGAACATTCTCCATGACAGAGCACAGGGGTCACAAGACAAGTCTGAATGAATTTAAGAAGACTGAAATCACACCAAGTATCTCTTCAGACCACAAAGGGAAGCAGGAAACCTCACAAATGCATGGAAATTAAACAATACATTATTGAACAACCACAGGGTCAAAGAAATCAAAAGGGAAATTGGAAACTATTGTAAGCCAAACAAAATTGAGAACAGCATACATGGAAACTCATGGGATAAGATGGGGTTGCAGCTAGGTGGCCGAGCACATGCTTAACATGCTACATACAGGCTGAGTGTCCAATTTCCAGCACCAAAAGAGAAATAAAGTAAAATAAAATCTTAATGAGTGATGCAAAAGAAGTTCCAAGAGGGAAACACAGGGGAAGGGACACTCAGACGCCAACCCTCATCTGGAGCCCAGACCACACCTAAACATGGAAGAGGAGACCTTCCCTTTGTGACCCCAGGTTAATCTTAGAATTCAGTGTCAACTTTGACCTTTGTCTTTGATGTGGCTTCTTCTTCATTTGGAGAACTTTCATTTCTCCTTTTCTGCTCATGACCGTGATGATCTGCAGATTTCAGACATACTACATGGCCCATTTCTAGTGCTCAGATCAGATAAGGACCATTAGTGGGCACCTACATTGTAAAACACCATGAACGTCTCATGTCCCAAACCCTTGTTCTACCGTGGTCTGGAAATTAATGATGGCTGAGACTCTCCATGTCCGCAACACCACTGACCCCATGACCACTCTGAGAAATGAAGTGCAGATTTCAAAAAAGGAAACTAAGGCTCAGAGATGGGGGTGTCCATCCTCAAGATGGTCCAGGCAGTGGGTGGTGAGCATGCAGGAAATATAAATTAGCACCTGCCCAACCAGGAAAATTCTGCCCTGGGAAACAGGGGCACTGAGGAGGTAGGAATGCCTTAGAATCTATTCTGGGAAGTTGGCAGTGGAGATTCTGCTGCTAAGAAAAAAAGAAGTCCATGGAGGGGATGGTTTAGTGGGGGAAACCCACAACCAGAGCCCAGAGAAGAGCCGTGTTTCCTTCCGCATGTCCCTGCCTCTCCTCTGTGCTCATCCCCATGATGAAGCTCCACGTGAGCTGCACAGTCAGGTGCTCTCTGTGTCTTTTCTGCTCGGTATCTGCCCTGCAGCCAGAACCTGCAACTTCCCAGCACATGTGCAGAGCTGTGGAGGTGACTGCCCATAGTAGGGACCCCACAATTCAGTGCAGGCGGGTGGGATGACGGAGTGATGGTGACTCCACGGAGGGCTTGAGAGGGAAGGACCAGACCTCAGTCTCTTTCACATGGAAGAGGCCAGCTCTGAAAGAACGAGGTGTATTTGCTGCTACATCCTAGCCCTCAGTGAGATGGGGACAGATCAGGTGCACATGGATGGGAGTCGAAGAGGCCTGGTTACTATTGGAAGTGTCTGCAAAGAGCCTAGTGCCAGCCCTGGTCCCAGCTGTAGCACCACAAGAACCAGGTTCCTGAGCAGGGCAGTTCCTCTTCTTGTTGCACTGCTGATGTGACAACCCCGTGACAGGAAGAACTCAGATTCCAAAGCCACACCCTGTATGTCTGTCCTGCAGAGCAATGTGGTCTCATCCATCTGCACAGCTACAGCCATGGGTGTAGACGGCATGACCCTCACCCTCATAGCCTTGTTCTGCCTTGGTGAGACATGAGGGAGAAGGGGTACCCTAATCTGGGAGGAATGTCAAAACACAGTCATCCATGAAGTCCTTCAGGAGACCCAGGGGCTCATGGGTCTCCAGGGAGGAGAGGACCTGCTCAGGCTTCAGGGGCAAACCTCTCACAAGGAACTCTCTTCCAGGGTTGAATGTGAAACCAAAGACCCAAGTACAGGCAGGTGAGTGTGTCCCCAGCTGTCCTTCCTCATCACTGGGGATAAGGGTAGTGGGATGGAGAACAGCAGGTGTGACTGATGCTGGGGGTGTTTGGAGGTCCTGGAGATGAGATCTGGGATAGGAGGGGGAATGTCCTGAGACCCAACCTCTGATTTCCTTGTAGGGACCCTCCCCAAACCCACCCTCTCAGCTGAGCCAGGCTCTGTGGTCACCCAAAGAAGCTCTGTCACCATTTTGTGTGAGGGGACCCTGGAGGCCAAGGAGTACCGTCTGTATAAAGAGGGACACCCAGAACCCCAGAGGAGACAACCCTGGCCTCAGACCAGGAACAAGGCTACATTCTCCATCCAATCCATTATACAGCAAGATGCAGGGCGATATTACTGTTATTATCAAACCCAAGCTGGATGGTCAGAGCAGAGTGATGCCCTAGAGCTGGTGGTAACAGGTGAGAAGACTCTCAGGAGTCACAGCCCCAAACTCTGCCCTCAGGAAGAGGGTCTGCTCCCAAGGGTGTCCCTTCTCACAGCCCAACTCTGGGGACAATGTGCGAGGTGTAAGCCCATTTAACACACTGCCTCCTTCTCTCATAGGAGCCTACTACAAACCCAGCCTCTCAGCCCTGCTCAGCCCTGTGGTGACCCCAGGAGGGACTGTGACTCTCCAGTGTGCCTCAAAGCAGGGATATTACAGGTTCATTCTGACTAAGGAAGGAGAACACATGCTCTCCTGGACTCAGAACTCACAGAGTGGGCAGTCCCAGGCCCTGTTCCTTGTGGGTCCAGTGAATCCAAGCCAGAGGTGGGCATTCAGATGCTATGGTTGTCACAGGAACAACCCCTATTTGTGCTCAAACCCCAGTAACCTCCTGGATCTCCAGGTCTCAGGTAAGGAAGCCCCAGCCTTTCCCTTAAATGACCTGGGACTTGACACAGGTCCCAAAGGAGGCCCCTTGATTGTGTGGTAGGGTGAGGAGAGCCAGGGCTCTGAACCCAATGACAGAGTGTGGGAGACAGGGGACCAGTGATATAGAGACTCAGGGGACAGTAGAAGTGAGAAATAGAGGGTCCAGAAGAGAGAGACAGGTCTTCATGTGGGTCTTCTGTCCTTCTGCTATTCAGGGATCCACTTAAATATCATCCATAAGTGCAACATACCCTGTGCCCTGTTTAGAACAGACCTGCCTGCTCCCTTCACAGCTGCTTTCTTACAGGGACCCTCCCCAAGCCCACTCTCTCAGCTGAGCCAGGCTCTGTGGTTACCCAAAGAAGCTCTGTGACCATTTTGTGTAAGGGGACCCTGGAAGCCAAGGAGTACCGTCTGTATAAAGAGGGACGCTCAGAGCCCTGGAAGAGACAGACCTCAATGGAGCCTAGGAACAAGACCAAGTTCTTCATCCAATCCATGTTACAGTATGATGCAGGGCGATATTATTGTTATTATCAAACCCAAGCTGGATGGTCAGAGCAGAGTGATGCCCTAGAACTGGTGGTAACAGGTGAGAAGACTCTCAGGAGTCATAGCCCCAAACTCTGCCCTCAGGAAGAGGGTCTGCTCCCAAGGGTGTCCCTTCTTACAGCCCAGTCCTGAGTACAGTGTGCAAGGTGTGAGCCCATTTAACACACTGCCTCCTTCTCTCCTAGGAGTCTACAGCAAACCCAGTCTCTCAGCCATGCCCAGCCCTGTGGTGGCCTCAGCGGGGAATGTAACCCTCCAATGTGCCTCACAGCAGGCATATGCCAGGTTCATTCTGACTAAGGAAGGGGAACCCAAGCTCTCCTGGACCCTGGACTCACAGCAACACTCCAATGGGCAGTTCCAGGCCCTGTTCCCTATGGGGCCTGTGACCCCCAGCCATAGCAGGTTCAGATGCTATGGTTATTACAGCAGGAACCCCCAGGTGTGGTCAGGACTTAGTGACCCCCTACAGCTACAGATCTCAGGTAATGAGCCAATCTTTTTTGGAACCCCAAACACATTGCCATAAGCAATGTGTGGAGCATCAGGTGGGAGGGGGGCTGAGAGGAGCTTGGGAACCCTGAGTCAGAAATCCAGAGAGTGAGAGACAGTGAGACCTAGAAGGCAGGACAGGAGGAGACAGGTGTTTGGCATTAACCAGCCCCTCAACCCAAGCTCCTCTTCCTTTCAGGGGTCTCCAAGAAACCATTCCTCTTGACCCAGCAGGGCCATGTCCTGGACCCTGGAGTTACCCTGACCCTCCAGTGTCGCTCTGACATCGGCTATGACAGATTTGCTCTGTCCAAGGAGGGAGAACATGACCTCCCTCAGCGTCATGGCCAGCAGTCCCAGGCTGGACTCTCTCAGGCTGACTTTCTCCTGGGCCCTGTGAACAGCTCACATGGGGGCCAGTACAGATGCTATGGTGCACACAACCTCTCCTCTGAGTGGTCGGCTCCCAGTGACCCCCTGGACATCCTGATCACAGGTGAGGACCCAACAGAATCAATCAGAGATCAGACTCTGCCTAGGACCTGCTTGGGGAGCCCCAAGAGGTTTCCAGGATGAAGGGTGGGTTTTAGGGAAGGACAGAGACAGAGAGATGGGAAAGGGACTGGGAGAGGTAGAATCAGAGAAAACTAAGATGGACAGAGAGACACAGGCCCTGGTGAACTCATAGTTCAGGACAAGGTGGGGCAGCCCCTCACCCTCCTTCTTCTCTGTAGGACAGCTACCTTACAGACCCTCCCTCTCGGTGCAGCCGAGTCCCACAGTATCCTCAGGAGAAAATGTGATCATGCTGTGTCAGTCATGGAGCCCAATGGACACTTTCCTTCTGTCCAAGGATGGGGCAGCCAATCCCCCCCTGCGTCTCAGATCAAAGTCCCGAGCTCAGCAGCACCAGGCAGAATTCTCCATGACTGCTGTGACCTCAGCCATCGGGGGAACCTTCAGGTGCTATGGGTCTCAAAACTCATCCCCCTACCTATTGTCAGAGCCCAGTGACCCTCTGGAGCTTATGGTTTCTGGTGAGTGGCCCCAGCCCCATCCTGTCTGAGCCAAAAGGGTCACTATAGTCTCTGCCTCTAGGAAGTTCTGGTCTGGGATAGCAATGTGGCAACCTAGGGAGGACCAGCTAGAGCGTGTTTCATTCCTCAGAGAGGAGGAGGCTAGCAGGGGTCCCCCAGGCATGTGCACCTCCACTCCACTGGAATTGAGAAGATGTCAGGTGGGCAAGAGGAGGGCTTTGGTGAGGTAACAGGGCAGATGGAGAAGAGTGATCAGAGACAGGGTCCCCAGGGGCAGTCCCAGACCCTCCCCATACTCTTTTCCTCATTCACAGGACCCTCTGGTGGTCCCAGGACTGCACATTCAGGGTTGCATGAGTGTGGGGTCAAGGCACAGGGAAATATTGGGGCCCAACCTGGGAGAGGAACAGCCAGGCTGAGGTGGACAGCAAGGGCACCCAGCCCCTCACCTTCCATTCACCCCACAGGCCCTGAGCCTGTGGGTGGCCCTTCACCCCCATGGAGTCAGAACCCCAAAGAGGTAAGCAGGGTCTCTAGAAAGTGGGTGTCAAAGATCAGGGGTTGAGCTCTGGAGTTTGTGCAACCTCCTCTGGAGACACTGACTTGCACAAGTCCCTCCCTAATCTGGGCCTCAGTTTCTCTAAGTATAAAGGATATGCCTGGCTCAGTCCTCCAAGTTCTTTTCACTGCTGACCTTGGCTGTGACCTTCTAAAAGAGGAGGCTTCCTGGGGGAGCCTCCAAGACTGATTCTGCAATGGGCATGTCCATTCTGACATGGTGTTGGTAATAGTGTGCAGGGAGAGACACAGTGACAGTGACATTGTGCAGGAAGGAACACAGGGCTGTGGTGACATTGTGCACAGAGGGCACAAAGCTGTGACAGCAGCATTCAGGCTCTTTCCCTCCAGCTCAGGGGTCTCAGCTCTAGTGGAGACATTGAGGCTGGAAGTCAGACTCCCCAGGTCCAATCCCAGATCTGCTGCTTCTTTCTGGATGACATGGGACCAGTGATTTGCCTCACTGAGCCTCAGTTTCCTCTTCTGTAAACTGGCGGGAAAGGCAATGCCAATTTGCAGGAGTGTGAGGGTCAGAGGTAAAGGGTACAAACACCCAGCACACAGGGCCTGGCACACAGTAGGTTCTGAATTAAGCAGCACTGTTCTTCATCCACTGTGTCACTTGTGCCCAAGGACTGGAGAGCTACCAGAAGGTTCTGATCGGGGTCTCAGTGGCCTTCCTCCTGCTACTGCTCTTCCTCTTCTACCTCCTCCAACACTGGCCTAGGGGCAAAGGCAGGGCGTCAGGTGAGTAGGGAGTGGGTGACCTGGGCCTTAGAAGGGGTTGGTCTCCTTGGAGAGGTGACCAAAGGTGAGCTCAGGGCATGAACCCGAGGGAATCCATCCAGGTGAGGACAGGACAACTTAGAAACCCTTCTGCAGAATCTCAGATCAGAAAACCTACAACAGGAAACACTTAATCCCGGTACCTGTGCAAATTTCAGCTTTTCTTTGACCTTTTCCATCTCAGAAACATAGACAAGTATCCAGTGTGTTTAAAGTCCCTGTCCTCCCCTCTGGGGCCTGTGTGGTGGAGCTCTAACCCTCCTGGCCTGAGACTCTTCCCTTTCACACAGCCCAGAGAGAGGCCAACGTCCAATGTCCTGCAGGGGCTGAGGAGGTAGCATCTAGGGACAGAGGTCTACAGAAGAGGTAATTCCTGCTCAAGGACCCAGATCCCCACATGCCTGCATCCTTCACTAACACCTGACCTCCTTGTCTCCCCAGCTCCAGCCCAGCTGCTGCTGTCCAGGAAGAAAACCTCTGTGAGAGGAAAAGGGCCCTTGGGAGGGAGACACCAAATGACTTGGGACCACAGAGGGAAGGAGGGAAAGGCTGGGCTCAGGCTGAGTCAGACTGAACCCCACAATGTGGACCTGGGATGTCACCATGCTCCCTGGCTCTGTGTCCCCATCTAGGACAGCAAGGGGCCTGTGGGACTAGAGATCCCAGGACTCTGGCAGGAGGTGACCCATATGTTCTGTCACCACAGATGATGCTGTGAAGGACACACAGCCTGAGGACAGGGTGGAGATGGACATTCAGGTGAGAACTCTAAACCATACAGGGCTCAAGGACTTCTGTTGCCCAATTTTACCATCTCAGTCCTCCCCTCAATCAGCTTTCCCCTATATCCAGAGCTGACCACCCTTTCTGGAAGCTCCTGCCTCTCTTCTTGCTGTGACCTCTTTCTCTCCTGACCTCTTGGTCCCTCTCTCCTGTCTACTTTCTGCCTCCTCGTCCTCTGTCTCCTAGTGAGCCTGTTCCTGGGTCTCAGAAGGACACATGAGGAACTGAGTCCCCCTGAGACTCTCCACTTCATCCCCCAGCTGTCCACAGGGAGCCCCTCTTGACCAGCCTCCCTATAAAAGCTGCAGATGCACCTGTGATCTGAGTGCCCCATCCACCCCGAGCTCACCTTGAGGGTGGAATGCCATGTGTCAGAAGTGAAAAGTTCTATTAGAAAAAAAATGAAGTAGAAAAGGGGGATTGAGTGTGTAGGGGCAGAAAGGGCCAGTATGAATTACAAGGGGAACTCTGACAAGGTATCTTCTGAGCAGAAGCCTGGAGAGGACATACAGACATCTACTGGACCAGCACCTTCAGGCAGGGGACACAGCAAGTGCAAAGGTCCTGGGGCAGGAACAAACTCTCCCAGGAAGATGGGTCGTGTGTCTGGAGTCAAGTGAGCAAGCGTCAGAGTGTTAGGATGAGAGTTCAGAACTACGAGAAGGAAGCTGCCAGACCCTCAAGGCCTTAGGAAAACCCTGAAGACTCCAATAGGATTTTAAACTGATTTAAGTCTTTAAAGGATCACTCTGGTCACCATGGGGAAAACTAGCTGAAGAGATCCAGGTGAAACCAGGAGGATATGTCTCTATTTTACTGTCCCCCTGCTGCAGAGCCCACCTGAGGAAGACTCCCAGGGAGTGACCTATGCCCAGGTGAACCACTCCAGACTCAGGAAGGGAGGGGCTGCTCCTCCTTCCCCCCTGGTGGGGAATTCCTGGACAGGAAGCACACACAGGCAGGAGGGGACAGACGGGTGGACAGTCAAGTGGGTGCTGTCCTCCCCAGGCCCCCATTATCCCCAATGCCAAGCATTCATCTTCCCTCTCATTCTCTTCCCTCCAGGCTGCATCTGAGGATCCTCAGGATGTAATCTATGCCCAGCTGTGCAACATGACACTCAGACAGGGGAGAACTGCAAGTCCTTCCTCCCAGGGAGGGGTGCTCCCAGCAGAGCCCAGTGTGTATGCTGCTCTGGCGACCACCAGCCTAATAGCTGTCCCCAAGAACACTAACTAATGGCCCCCAGCCAAGCAGGACCCCCTTACAGAGAGCTGCAGGAGATTCTGGGAACTTTGGGGACATGCCTGACTGCACTCAGAGATAACTAACATCCCAGGTTTTGGAAATAAAGCAGGATATTTCTCATTTATCAATGAATGAAATGAGGAACAAGACAGAAGGGAGAGGAGGTCTGAATTGAATGACAATGCTAGTGATAATATTACACATCAGGTTTTTCTCACCCTGGAAATGACCTGCTTTCATTCTAAGTGTATTGTTTTCCTAATAAACTTTACTATGACTTTCACTACAAAAAAATTACGCATCAAAGCTACAAAATTACAAAATAAGAACCATGAATGATATGCAGAAACTAGACCTAAAAAAATTAATGTCATGAGTGTAAAACCCTGGGGGATGCTGTTTGGGGGAAACAACAGGAGGGGGAGGGAGAAAGGACAGGGTTAAGGGGTGAGTGTGATCACAGCACTTCATACACATGTATGAAAATGCAACGATGAAGGCTGTTAAAATTGTTCAAAAAGGGGGAGGAGAGATAAGAAAGAGTAAAGAAGGTGGATATGATCAGAGTAAGTTACATGTATGTGTGGAAATGTCACAATGAAACCCCTTTCTACCATCAATAAACACTAAGAAAAAAGGGAGGGGAGAATTGTGAACAAGGGGCAGCGATGCAGCCCAGTCCTGCAGCATGTAACAGCATGCACAGGTCCTGAGCTTGGTCCCTAGTAATGCACACAAAGCACTTTTTAAAAATCAATGAGAGCTGGGTGTGGTGGCACACGTACACAATTCCAGCACATAGGAGACAGAGGCAGGAGGATCAGGAGTTCAAGGCCAGCCTGGGCAACATAGTGAAACTTTTCTCAAAAAAAAAATCCATGAACTAAGCTGTCATATCAAGAATTCAGAGAAAGAATAGCAAATTTCGCTTAATGAAGAGAAAGGGAAAGAAACAGATTAGCTGGCAATGAGGACAGACAGACATGGGAGCAGGTGTCAGCGAGGAGTAAAATGCAGGGAAGGCAATCCTGCACATTTCAGAGGTAGCCACAGAGCACTCTGAGCAATTGTATGACAACATGCAGATAAAACACACAAATCCCCCAGTATGGTATTCACTAGGTAGACACAGGGAAAAATGCCAATATAAAATGTGAGCCATTTCATACACATCGACTGTCACAGACACTGTCTGTCTTTTAAAATGTTTCCCGGAATTGTCGGTGTGGAGTAAGTGGTCAAACGCCTGCCTAGCAAACACAAGGCCTGAGTTTAAATCCCATTACCACCAAAAATAAAGACAAAACATTTCCCCAGTGAACTTTAGTTGAGGAAACTTTGCTGGTCATTTCTCAAACCCTTATGCAGTTACCAAGCACATATTCCCCAAAGTTACGCAGACTGTTTCTAAAACTAGAAAAGAGGAAATGCAGCCTAACACAGTTACCAAACCAAGAGGAAATCGATACCAAAACTTGACAAGAAAACCACAGAACAGCTGGCAGAGTGGCTCAAGTGATAAGAATGCCTGCCTAGCAAGTGTGGAGCTCCGAGTTCAAACCCTAGTGCCACCAAATAAATAAACAAAAATAAATAAATAAATGAAAATGGCAGAATGTCTCTGTTAAAAAAAATAAGAAAGGAAAAGAAAACCACAGAACAGGGAGACCACAGGACGATCTCTCACATAACACACATCTGACCCCTAAAATTTTCAAAGATAAGGTTCAGTGCTACACAAAAAGAATAATACATCATGACCACACTGTTGTTTTCATTTGGTTTTGCTTTTTAATTTTGTTTGGGAGACAAGTTTAAAAATCAATAATCATCCTAGCAAGAATGAGGTCCTGAGTTCAAGTGACAGTCCTGCCAAAAACAAAAACAAACAAAATGAACCAATCAAGAGAATTTTACACATTAACAGAATATGTAAATTTATCATCTCTTGCATACCCACATGGATAAATAAGAACACAGCAAAAGGAAAAAAAGGGATCATCTCAATAGATGCAGATGAGCCTTTCAATAAACTAATACAATCCTTCATAATAAAAACTCATCAGAATTAAGGGGAATTCCTACCACTTACACAGATATGGTTAAAGTCTCCACTATCATCATTTTTTATTTGGTGCTACTGTGGAGTTTGAACTCAGGGCTTTGCTTGAGCCACTAGTCCTGCTACCATCATTTTTAAAGTGAGAATTTCAAGTCTTTCTGCCTAGTGTTGGGAGCAGCCCCAAGTCACTTCTGTTCAGTGACTTCTCTGGTATCAGAGGTACCAACCAATTATGTAAACCAAAACAGACTGATAAGAACTGACAGGGTGAGATCTCATCATGCATCACTGACACAAGTGTGTGTATAGGAAGCATAAAATCATGTAAACACACTTTACTCAAATTAAAAAGGAATATTGCGAATTGAGCACCCTACACCAAAAATCTCAACAGGAGGCTGAGGCAAGAGGACTGAGAGTTTGAGGTCAGCCTGAGCTACATAGCAAGACCTGTCTCAAAAACCTAAAATAAATAAAAAGGAAAAAAATAATTGTACTTTCATGTCTGGAAAATATAGGAATCTTACAAATGTGTAAGGCCTTTATCCTCATGCCTTTTTGTTGTAATTGTTATATGTATTATATCTAATATCTATACACATAATTATATCCATATCTAACACATTGAAAATATCACCAGAAAAAATTAGAATTTTTTATTTTAACAACCATGCATACATGAAAGTACTTTTTTTTGTGGTACTGGGGTTTGAACTCAGGCCTACTCCTTGAGCCACTCCACCACTCCTTTTTTGTGATGGGTTTTTTGGAGGTAGGGTCTCAGGATCTCAAGAACTATTTGCCCAGGCTGACTTCAAACCACAGCCTCCTGATCTCTGCCTCCTGAGTAGCTAGGATTACAGGCAGAAGCCACTGGCACCAGGCTACATTAAAGAACATAAGAAAGAAAACAATATTTACCTTTGTTTGCCCTTTTTCATTTTTTTGGCAGTAGTGGTGTTTGAACTCAGGACCTTGTGCTTGCTAGGCAGGCGCTCTATCACAAACCACTCTGCCAGCCAGCCCTCCTTCTTCATTCTGGTTTTGTCTCTGTTGAGACAGGGTCTTGCTATGCTGCCAGGCTGCTCTTGAACTCAAGAGTCCTTCCATCCCAGTTCCTGTGTAGCTGGGACTACAACATCTGCCATCATGCCTAGTTCTAGTTCTGCTCTTAATTTTCATGCCTCCCTCTGGAATTATTGCCATTTTTCCTGAAGTACTTACTGTAGCATTTCTCTTACATCATGTCTGCTGGCAGCAAATTTTCTTAGTTTTCCTTTCTCTAAGAATTGCCTTTGGGCTGGTGGAGAGGCTCAACACAAGGCCTTGAGTACAACCCTTGAGTACCACCAGGGGAAGGAAAAAGCCTCATTGTAGGCTGGGCATGGTGGCTCAAACCTGTAATCCAAGCTGCTCAGGGGAGAGATCAGCAGGACTGTGGTTTGAGGCCAGCTTGAGGAAAAATAACACATCAACAAACAAGCTTTTCCATTTCTACAAAAAGTGCTGTTAGAACTTTGGTAGGAATTATATTTAATCGATAAATCATCTGGGAAAATGTTGCCATCCTAACAATATTCAATCATTGAATTAATGAACACAGAAGGTATTTCCCTTTAGGAAAGTCTCCTTTAATTTCTTTCAGTTATGCTAGTTTGTAGTTTTTTACTGTCCAAGTCTTGTGCCCTTTGGTTATGTCAATACCTAAGTATTTTATTCTTTTTACACTTTTGTAAACACAATCATTTTCTTAATTTTCAGATCACTCATTGATTTTTTGCATGTCGATGTCTACATATAAGGTTGTGCCATCAGAGAACACAGTTGTTGTTAAAATTAAGTGGTTTTAATTTTCTCTTTCAATTTAAATGTTTTACTTCTCTTTGCCTAATCTCTCTACCTAAAACCTTAGGGTCCAAGGGTGAGAAGAAATGGCCAAAGTGGCTTCCTGATCTTATACCAGAACTTGGGGGAAAGCCTTCAGCCTCTCACCACTGAGAAGGTCAGCTCTGGGATTTTCAAAAATGCCCTTGCTCATGCTGAGAAAATGTTCTTGTTTCCCTCTGACTAAAGGGTATTGGAACCCGTCAGGTGTTTGCTCTGAATCCACTGAGCTGATCATGCCTTCCTTTCATCCTTCTGTGCATACAGTGCATTGCCTTGACTTAGGTGTGTCAAAACAACCTTGCTTTCCTGGAATACATCCCACTGGGCCATGATGAGTAATTCTCTCGACATACAGTGGATTCGGGTAGCTTGGATTGCTGAGAAATGTTGCATTTGTATTCATAAGAGCCATTGACTGACGGTTTTCTGAGGCTGCCTTTGCCTGGCTTTGACATCAGAGTAATGTTTGCCTCATGGAATGAGACTGAAAGTGACTGCTCTTCTGTTTTTTGGAACAGTATGAGAAGGTGTTCATTTCTCTCTAAGGTTTGGTAGAATTCAGCAAGGAAGCCATCTATTCCTGGGCTTTTCCTTGTGGAGAGGCGTTTCACTAATTAATTCAGTCTTTTTACTGGTTCTAACTTTGTATTTCTTCTGGTGTCAGTGTGGGTGGTTGTCTCTAGGAATTTATCCGTTTTATTTAGGGTATCTAATTTCCTGTTTTACAAAGGTTCATAATATGCTCTCATAATCATTTCTTTATTTCTCAGTAAGGTCTATATAGAAATATCGGCATTTCCCATGGTAACTTTGGTAATTTGAGATGGCTCACTACTTTGCTTGGTAAATCTAGTTAAAAACTTGTCAATTTGTTGATTTTTTCAAGAACCAGCTTTTAGCCAGGCAACCATGGCACAAGCCTGTAATTCTAGCTACTCAGGAAGCAGAGAACAGGAGGATAGTGGTTTGAAACCAGCCCCCATCAAGTAGTTCTCAGGATGCTGTTTTGAAAATATCCAACACAAAGAAGGGCTGGTGAAGTGGCTCCAGTGTTAAAATGCCTGCCTAGCAAGTGTGAGGCCCTGAGTTCAACCCTGTGCTAAGAACAAAAAAAGGAGAACCAATTTTTGTTTTGATTCTGTTTCTCCATTTTCTATTTTAAGTATCTCCATACTAATCATTATTTTCTTTTTTCCTCTAACTTTAGTTTGGGTTGTTATTCTTTTCCCAGTTCCTTAAGGTACAAAGTTGAGTTACTTTTTTATTTTCTACTTTACTTTTGCAGTGTTGGGTTTTTAAGCTATTTTTCTTTTTTGAGACAGAATCCCACTA